TGGTCACCTGAGTTCGGAGGCAGGTTTCAGCTGTTGTTTGAATATATAAATTTTAATAGGTCAATGTGGTACCCGAAAGTTCCGAATCAGACATGGATTGACGGATTTTGGAGGGAGCTCCCAGTAGGGGTTGGGTACGCGGATGTCCAGCGTGTGGCTGTAAACTGCGTCTACAGTACAGATACATTATCACTATTTGCGGTCGACCTCCATTACACCGACAGTACGGGAGTCGCTGTTATAGGGGAATTATCCGAATAGGGCGATACAGGATTGGAAAGTACGGTCAAATTATGTGTATGTAGCAGCTGCTTCCTCTATTATTTTGGTGTTTCGGGGGGTGATCGATGGGTGGGGACAGACATTTTCGAGATAAATGAGTACACACGTGAAAAGGTCAATTCAGGCCTTAGACATGCTTTGGGAACGTTGACCTGTCAGCAGAGGTTGAGTATTAAGCAGATCTGCCCTCAGAATCCCGAGTTCATGAGCTTTATACTTCGAATTGCTCTCAGTTATGCGATTTCTTTGGAAGGTTGCCCGTGTTGATTGTGCACAAGGGTATATCAATCGTCCAGAGTTATTCCTCAGTATTTCAATGAGTTTCCAAACATGCCTTTGTAACATCGTTTTTAGTATTCTTGTTGGTGAGCTCGGATAGGAACGACACCATAGTTTTGACAGGCGGTCACGATGTGACTCACTCATTGAAGTTCGTTCAGAGTTGAAAACCCGCTGGACACGTACAGACATGAATATGTACAATTCGCCCCCCACCACTATAAGCTTGGTATGTTGCGGAAGCAACTTCATTAAAAGCGGTCAAAATTTCTTGTCTGCCTTTAGTGGACTGTCCGAATCTTCAAATTTTAAAGAAGAGCTGTCACGAATACAACCACGTGCATCTTCAGTTGGTTGTTGAGGAAAATATTCCGGAGGTTCTACAAAGATTGCAGACCCGATTATCTTAGGAGGGGGAAGTCGCGATTTGTCGTAGATTCTGATGTGTTTCAAAGATAGGAAGGTTGGTCCACAATGGCCAGACGTTTTTAATTTAAGATTGGAGTTCCGTATACTAGTTTCTGCATGAAACACCGTAGGATTGCTCAGATTTCAGCCTGGTTAAATTTACCTTAAGCACACATACTGCGCTGGGGCGGCCAGTACATTTTATATGCCCTTGCAATAATCGTGGCATAGTGACTGTTCATTAAACCTTTTTCTACCGAAGCTGGGACATTTTAAGTCATTAGTATAC